TAGGCCCAAAGTTACCCCCCCTCCTCCTTTTAGTGTTCTAGATAGGCCCAAAGTTACCCCCCCTTTTAGTGTTCTAAATAGGCCCAAAGTTATCCCCCCTTTTAGTGTTCTAAATAGGCCCGAAGTTACCCCCACCCTCCTTTTAGTGATCTAAATAGGCCCAAAGTTACCCCCACCCTCCTTTTAGTGTTCTAGATAAGCCCAAAGTTACTCCCCCTCTCCTTTTAGTGTTCTAAATAGGCCCAAAGTTACTCCCCCCCTTTTAGTGTTCTAAATAGGCCCAAAGTTACCCTCCCTCTCCTTTTAGTGTTCTAAATAGGCCCAAAGTTACCCCCCCTCCTCCTTTTAGTGTTATAGGTAGGCCCAAAGTTAATTACAAGTTACAACAGGTGAAAACTGGAGCTTTCCCATTGCCCTGTCTTAACATGAGCAGCTGGGTGGTCTGTAAAGTTTTTAGGCCCTTGTTTCTTGGTGCTGACGTTTGTGAATTGATACCAAACAATTTGTTGTGAAGGGAGTGGGTTGGTTGGTTGGATATAGTGGTGTGTCAAACTGGCTGTGTGTTTCTAGAAAAAAAAGTTAAGCCACTTATCAGCTGCTGTTCATGTCTGGGGAGAGGCCAGGTTTAAATTTCACCCCCCTCCCCAAAAAGTAAAACAACCACAACCCAAAGGTATTGTGTGCACAATGGTAGGTTTTGTTAAGAGTATTTTCTTTCCCTTTCTCTCCCTCTCTTTCTAAATAGGGCAGAAGTGTTTGTCACTGACTGCTTGCTTTCTTTCCAGGTACTAGTGAACACTGCCTGCTGTGTTCTGATGTTGGTTGCCAAGCTAATCCAGTGCACAGTGTTTGGTCCTCTTCGTGTCAGTGAGAGGCAGGTGAGACAGCTGGTGGTTTCCTTGGATATCTGTGGTGTTCCAGAATTTCTTGGTGTCCAGCTGGTGTGATTTTTCTATATTGAATTGCTTAAAAAGTACCTCAGAAAATTACATTTTAGAACAACTTAGGTTTCACCATTATACTTGTATTTTAAGAATGCTGTCCAGTAAAACACATATAGTAAACAATCTGTCCTAGAAACCCTTCCTGGTTAGCTGGGATATCCACAGCCACAAACTGCTAGTTAATTTCTGAAAGGCACTTTTCTTTTTCATTGTTGCTGGTGTATTTTGTAAGCCAGCTTGAAAAATCCTGCTTCCTTAGTGGACTTTGTCAGATTTCTTACAATTGCATCCTCGTCTCAGAATATTTACAAAGGGTTCTTCTTGATTCAGTTCCATTTGGCAGCATTTCCCTGGTGTGTTTCATAGGCAGTTCCCAGCACTGGCAGCCTGAGTTCCTTCTCATGTCTTGTTTTGTGCCTTGGCTGCTGGAGAAGTGCTTTCTCTCCTCAGATAGTGCTTTATCTGCCCTCAGGTTTCAGAGGGAGTAGGCAGGTATCTGCCCAGAGAAAAGAGGCAGACAGGGCTTTAAACTCAAGCAGTTTAGTCCTGCTCTTAGGCCAGGTGTTTTTAAAAGTTCTGCAAGAAGGCTATTAAAGCCCAGGATCCTGCAGGAGATAAAAGCAGCAGCAGTGGTTTAAATAGTACCTGTATATATAAAAAATGAGGCAGATGCAGAAGTTGCTCTGTGTAAATGCAGTAGCAGTGGTTTGTAAATATGTTTTCCAAAATATTTTCCTATCTTTTTTTAAAAGTGTGTAAATGCAGTTCTTTGGGAAAAATGAGGAATTTTGCCATGGAGAATTGAGGCACATAGAGCCTCATTAATAGCCATGGATCTCTTAAAGCCTGTTGTGTTTGTGAGTCACACCTTGTAGAGAAGTGAAGTGTATTAAAAACAAGGCACTATCAAGCTTTTCTTTCTGGTTGGAGTTGCCTATAGGGATGTGGACCTTTAATCAGTGGTTATTTCCAGGGTGTTCTGTAACTTCTTAAAAACTGAAGTGAAAAGCAGTAACAGTGGATGTGTTTGGACAGTGGGAGTGTGCTTCAGTTCTCACCTAGAGGCAAGCTGGTTGTTAATATCAGTGAGCCAAAAATGGCAACATCATGAAGGAATTCTGGGCCTGTCCTAACTAAACTCCTGGTGATTTCATCCTGTTCTGTAACAAAACATTTTATTTCATAACTTATTTTAGCCCCAACAAGCTGGTTTGCTCTCTGCTGCTTGAGACCATTGTGTTGTTCCTTTCATACTGCATGGGAGTAATTTTTCTTTGCTCATCCATCTCATTCTCCACTGTGGACATTGTGCTTATTAGGAGCAGACCAGGTCACCTTTTCTTAATCATCTTGTCTGACTGACCTTGGCAGTTTTTCTAGCAGAGAGGACACAGCAGTTGTCCTGCTTGGGTGTGGAGGATCAAATGGAGATCAAACCTGGTTTGTGCAAAGAGCTGGTTTAGAAGTATGGCAGGGAACTAGGTTGTGTGCTGTGTTGCACAGTTGTTCTGTGGTGGTACAAAGACTAGATGGATACTAGGGATTACTAAGGGAGGTAGTTCTACCCCTCTACTCCACTCTCATGAGACAACACCTGGAGTAATGTGTCCAGTTCTGGGGTCCCCAACATAAGAAGGACATGGAACTGTTGGGGTGAGTCCAGAGGAGGGCACAGAGATGGCGGGAGGGCTGGAGCAGCTCTGCTCTGGATACAGGCTGGGAGAGTTGGGGTGTTCAGCCTGGAGAAGAGAAGGCTCCAGGGAGACCTTAGAGCAGCTTCCAGTGCCTGAAGGGGCTCCAGGAAAGCTGGGGAGGGACTTGGGACAAGGGCAGGGAGGGAGAGGACAAGGGGGAAGGGATTAAAACTGGAAGAGGGAGGTTGAGGTGAGACATGAGGAGGAAATAGTTTGTTGTGAGGGCGGTGAGAGCCTGGGCCAGGTTGCCCAGGGAAGCTGTGGCTGCCCCATCCCTGGCAGTGTTGAAGGGCAGGTTGGATGGGGCTTGGAGCAGCCTGGGCTGGTGGGAGGTGTCCCTGCCCATGCATGGGGTTGGAACTGCACGATCTTTAAGGTCCTTGCCAACCCAAACCAGTCTATGATAGTATTTCTAATATGTTTTTAATTCAGCGAGAGTAACAAGTACTATTCAAGATGTGTCTGCAGCACGTGTTGTATTTTTACTTCCATCTTCTTTTTTACTTTCTCTCTTTCCTCCCTTCTGTCCCCTGCATGTGAATTGTCAGTGCTTTCCAGTACAGTAACCAGATGTCTTCCTTTACAGCACCTCAAGGACAAATTCTGGAATTTCATTTTCTACAAGTTCATCTTCATTTTTGGTGTGCTGAATGTTCAGACCGTGGAAGAAGTGGTGATGTGGTGCCTCTGGTTCTCTGTCCTCGTGTTTCTTCACCTGATGGTTCAGCTCTGCAAGGACCGCTTCGAATATGTAAGTTTAGGTGAAGTTTAGGTCCATGTCTTTGGGACATGCAAATTCTGTCTCTGTTTGGGACACTGGCACATGGGAGGTTACAAAGAGATCATTTAGACCTTTTCCCCACCCTGCAGTGCTGAATGTCTGCACCTCCCAGTAGCTTTGAATACTTGAAAGTTCAATGTCAATCTTACTCAGTCTCCCCATCAGACAATGGGAGCTGAAGATACTTATTTTCTTTGATAAATTGCTCCTTAGGTGTGCCCTGTAATTACTGTTACATAACTCCATGAGATGTCCTCCTAGCTCTCCTTACTGAAGTCTTGACAGCAGAACATTCCTCAGATTGGTGCCCTTTGGCAGTGGTCTGTGAAGCCTGTTTCTCTGGGCTCTGTGCTTGGGTTTCAAGCTCATTTTCATCTGCCAGTGTCTTTACAATATACAGTGCAACTTTCTCCATAAGCTGTGTCCTTTACCTTTTCTGGTAAATGCCAGGAATAAATTCAGTAGAGGTGCAGAAATTGAAGGCCAGGCAAGGGAGAAAGGATTTGAACAGTACATTTTGTCCTTTAAACATCTATAATGGATGTGCATTTTCTTCAGCTCCTCTGACCTGGAATAGAAGTTTGAACTGAATTGAATCCATGAATTTCCTTTTAGTAGCTCTGTGCTTGGCAATATGGTGGTTTTTTTTCTTCATTATTATGCAGCAAGGTCTATAAATTCACTAGTAGCTGAGCACTGAGCTAGGAACTAGGTTGGCTGGGGTTAGGCAAATGGAGAGAGGAGTGAACAAGGGAGTCACCTGGTGGTTTTCATGTAATTCAGAAAGCTGTAAAAGAACAACTTATTCCTGTGGGAATAAATCCTTAGTATATTCCTTCTGCATTCAAAGCATGGATTGTAATTCTTTCCTTGGACAAATGGTACTTGTGTGAGCTGCCTTGCAAAGCAGGGGGGTGTGGAACTGAACCAGCTATAAAGGAGGAAGAAAGAACCAATTTGAAAACAAAACATGAGAGTCAGCTTCAGCAGTCTGACCAGAATGAAGCTTTGAGCAACAATTTCCTTTCTGTTCTTCCTCTTCCTACCCTGAAACTAAGGGCATGGACCACCTAAATACTTTTCCTCCTGGGTCATCTTTGATTGAGCCAGCCTAGGTGTAGCCTGCTATTAAGGTGGTTTAGAGAATTAGTAGACTCTGTGCTCTTGAATGAGACAGCTATTTTTATTAGATGCTGTCTAGCAGTCTAGCTGCAAATTAAATTCTTGGGGGAGATGTCTCTTTCTTCCAGAAGAAAATGACATTGGAAGAACTGGAAGATAAAGCTGGAGAAACTAGATCATCTGTGAGGTCCAAAACTGGCAGAACAATTATTCTCACTGCTCCTGTATTAAGGTTAAGTGTATCTTTAAACCACGTGTAAATCCTGCTGTGGATTTGATGCAGAACCTACTGCCTGAGAAAGTGTTCATGGTTTTCTAGCCCAGGTGACCTGAACAGGAGATCAGATAATCGTGATGTTCCCTTCTGGCTTTAAAAGCCTGGTGAATGTCCATGCCAGGGAGAGGAGTGAGGCTTTGGCATGGTGTATGTTTTTAGCTTTATGTCATTTATTCCTGCACTGCATGTTTGGGGTCCTGAGGTTGGTTTTGTTCTAGAAAGAAAAGATTTTCCCAATTGAGGACTTGGTTGGTGAGGTGGGTATGGAAGGCAGGGTGGGTGAAGTGCTCCTTTCAACCTGTGATGTATTTCTGTCTTTGTGTTTCAGCTTTCCTTTTCTCCTACCACCCCCATGAGCAGCCACATGCAAGTCCTGACCCTCCTGGTCACCATGCTCCTGTCCTGCTGTGGCCTGGCAGTTGTCTGTGCTGTTGTTGGCTACACCCATGGCATGCACACCCTGGCTTTCATGGCAGCTGAGGTGAGACTTCATACATGTCCTGGTTTCTGCTTTGTTTTCCCCCCCTCATTTAGGGGGTATCTTGGCACATGGTGGGTTTTCTTGTAGTTTCACACAAGGAGAAACCTTGAGATGCAAACAAACCTTCCCCTGTTTTAGAGCAGTTGCCAAACCTGCAACTTTGGAGTTTAAGCCTGCAAAAAATCTTTGTCTGAAGAGGGGAATGAGAAGATAAATCCCTAAGATGATGCTGAAGTCAAATGGCAGCCTAGGAAAAAATAATGGTTGTGCTTCATGAGTGTTGCAAGAAGGGCTGGTTGAAATGATTGCTGGAGAGAGTGTGTGTGGAGGTGTAATGTGCACCTCAGCCTGTTTCCTTGAGGTTGTATTTTCTACTTCATTCCTCCCAAAAAGAAATGAGACTGACAGCCTTTCCTTAAGGCACACTGATGGGATTTGCTTATGTTTGTGCAGAGTTGCATCTCAGCTGAGATGAGCAGCCTTTCTTTGTGCACTCCTGGACCCTTGCAGTGTGGAATAAGCTTCAATAGGGTTTTGCTGTTATGCTGGGTTGTTGCACCCTGCCTGAAGGAGTGATAAACTTAAAGAAAGGGGAGGTGACCAATGTAATTGCAAGCAAGTCAGGTTAGCACATCCTTAGATAATCATAACATCAGATAATGAGCAGCACAGGTGGTTTATTTTTCTCCTGTTTTGAGTTTATTTGTGGAGTTAGTGAGGAGAAAAGAAAAACACAGCTGACTGTAAAGACAACGTGATGGTGGTCAGGTATTTAGTGTGGCAGATACAAGAATATGCAAGGCCAGATTTGAAACTACACAGCAGGTGGGTCTTGAAGTGGCAGTGTCTCTGATAGGTGAGGGCTTGGTGGTGGTGGTGTGTCTGTTATCTTGGCTTGGCAGAAGGGTGTATCAGCCTTGTGGGAGCATGGGGCAAGTTTATCAGGGAGTGTTACTGTGCCCAGTTGCTGCCTCCTTAGCAGTGCACCCTGTGCTGGTGTGTGTGTGTGTTTTGGGTTGCAGGATGGGGCCCAGTTAGTTCACTTCAGTGAGAGCTGTTGTGTCTGCTTGTTAACAAAGCAGGGGCTCAGCAGCAAGGGTATGTCATGCTCAACCCTGGGTCCACCAGGCAGCTGTGCTGTTGGTGGGCAGCAGAGGAGGTCTGTGGGGAGCATGTAGGAAAAGGTCTCCTACACTTGCTTGCAGCAGCTGGAGTTTGAGGGTGTTCCTGAGCTGAGGGTTGCACAAGCCTGCTGGGTTTGGTAACCTCTGGAAAGGTGTCTGATAATTTACTGAACTCCTTGGCCTCTGCAATATACAAAAGAAAACAAATTCCACTTCTAATTTGGCTTTGCCTGCACAGAAGAGCTCTTTCAGTTGTTCTGAGTCTTCTGCCTGGTCATGTCCTGGGCTATCATCTTAATCCATTTGTGGTGAAAAACCAAAAAGAATCATTCCCTGTTTAGTCTTCTTCACACCATTTGTGATTTTATAGACCTTTCTGCTGTTTCCCTTCTGACTCTCCTTCCAAGCAGAAGAATTCTAGCTTGTTTAATCTTTCCTCATATGAGAATATCTTGCCCTTTCATGAATGTTTAAATACACTTTATACTGCTTGGGTGACAGTGAATTATTTTCCTTGATTTTAATACCCAGCACTCATGTAAGTGGAACAAAACCTTTAGGTTTCTTCCTGCACAGCCAGTAGCAGTGACACCTCGTGGCAGCAGTTCTGAAGTCCCAGCAAAAAAAAGCCTTAAATCTTGCAGACTAAAATGTTTTCCTGGTGGTGGCTTCTGTGATGCTGTTCAAGAGGGGCCCTGCCAAGTGTATTCCATTAGTGTGTATTTAATTACATTAAGCTACATTAAGCTATTCATCTCTCTCCTGACTCTGCAAACATTGATTTAACTTGATGCCCCAGGGTTTTCAATACAGCAGTCTGGATTATTTTTTTTTCTCAGGTTCTAGGTGGGCTCCTCTTTGTTCTGTGCTGTTTTTTAAGGTGTTTTTTTTCCTGCAAAGGATGGATGTGAAATGTGTAAATGGCCAGAAAAGGTTGAATAAGGACAGGCTGTATTTTTGAGTTAATGTTAACCTTGTTTTGACTTAATATGTGGTATTTGACAATGATGTTATAGCAAGTAATGTCTGTCTTTGCATCTTTTTTTACTGAAGGAAGGAGTTGCTCCATTCCTATAGCAGCTGTGCTCTGATCCTGTTTCATGCATCCATTTCTCCAGGTTGAATATCAGGAAGTGCTTCCTCATGGAAAGGGTGATTAGACACTGAAATGGGCTGCCCAGGGAAGTGGAGGACTTTAAGGAAACTGGATGTGGCACTTAGTGCCATGGTGGTGTTAGGTCATAGGCTGGACTTAATGATCTCAGAGGACTGTTCCAGCCTCAATAAGTCTGTGGTTCTGTGATTATCTCAGGGGCTGAGAGCCTTGCAGTTGTGGGCTCATCTGTGTGACTGGGATCTGCCAGTATCAGAGTCCCTGGGGGACAAGTGTCTATGTGTTGGAGCAGAACAGGAGCTCTTGAGGTGTCAGCACTGAAAATGGCCTTGCTGTACATTTAGAGCTTCAGATGAGGGAGTTGTGTGACTTGGGATGTAAAACTGTACTCCTGCAAAGTGTTTCTCATGTCAGAACATTGAAATGCTTTTCTGGAGGCAATGGGGGAGCTGGAGACTGGCATCTTGACCAAGTAAGTCTGTGCTAGCTTCTTGTTTTAATTTTGATGCTGTTGCTGCCTCAGCACTAACCAGTATAAATGTCTTGGCAACAAAATGGTGAATGAAAGGGAAGCAGTGAAGTTCTTCAGATTCCAAGGGCTGAGTTCTGTTTTAACATAAAAGTTGTAAAGACTGGACTCTTCAGATGGTGACCCAACAGTTGTCCTTGTTAGCAGAGACATAATGCCACGTGGACTGTTTTTGACACAAGTTTGTGCTCAGTGCCCATCCAGCAGCTCAGGTAACTCTTCTGCTCCACCACTTGCACAGTTAAAATTTGAACGTATTTACTTTTTCTCTGTGGTCTGCTCAGAGCTTCTCTGTAGCCAGAAACCTTGTATGAACAAGGTGTAGTTTTTTTCTGGTCCCCACGTGTGAGGTGACAGGAGACAAGTGCCTTGCAGGGAGCAGCTATTGTGCTAACTTCACATTTTTATGAAAAATACTTGTGATGAGAACAGCCCACTGTGCTAGGGGGCTTGTTGCTGCCCTCTTGGCTTTTTTTTTTTGTGTTCTTTGAGAGATGTTTGCATCTTATCCTGAAGCCCTTGTTTGGATAAAAGATTGCACTGGTTTGCAATAGTGACAGGATTGTCACTGATTGTCACAGAATAGTCACTGATTGCAGTAGTGACAAGACCATGTATTTTAAAGCCAGCTAGTAAAGACTTGGGGAGATTTGTTAGATGTTACTAAGGGTTAAATATACACAGAAGTGTTTTAAGAATGCTCTTCACACATGGAAAAAAATATTCAAACCAACTGTGCTGTTGCTGTATTGGGAAGTTGTTGGTTTTGATAGTTCTGTGCTGGTTTTAGTAGTTAGGCTGAAGGCATCAGAGCAGCTTTATAGATGTGGTTTCAGTTGCTTGTTGTAAATCCCCTGCATCTTGGTGTCACTTGGCCTCTGCCAGCCACAGGGTGGTGTGTCTCCAAAGGGGCTTTGTCCTGTCCCATTTTCTTTCACTGGGAGGGTACAACTAAGGGCCAGGGCACTTTGGGCCTGACAGGTTAGAGAGAGGTCATGGGGCCACTTTTCTTAGATGATAAGAACCTGTGAAAATGTGGTCAGGTATTCTGGAAACGCTTCTTTCTGGTGACTTACCTCTCCATGTCTGCTCCAGTTACACTTCCTGATAGAATAATTTTTATTTTACCTGTACTTAGCCTAGAGAGGTAAGAAAGATTAAGGAGAAAAGTGACTTTTTTTCAGCATTCACATCTCAGCAAAGTGGGAAAATGATTTGAAAGTGCTGCCATGCTTCTCCCCCAAACTCCTGCTAGTATTTGTTTCCTCAGATTTTACCTGAGCAGTGGGGTGAGGACAGGTAGTTGGTAGTGGGATTGTGGTTTCAACACTCCTGAGTGATAAGAATGAAAAAAAAATGTTATGTCCTAAGTAGTGGGGGTAAAAATGAGGCTTAACGGCAGGGATGCTTGTGGCTGGTCCAAGTGCACTGTGAACAATTTCTGCTACACTTATTTATAAGCTTCCTGTTTGTCCCAGGTATATTGTGCACACCATCATCTCTACTGACCGTGGGTTCACAGGAACTTGTTGAGCTGCAATAAATGCATTTTTGTGTTAGAACTCCTGCCTCTGGACCCACTGTCCCTGCCAGAATATTGACATAGTTTCTTTTTTCTTTTTCCTTCCCTCTTCTTCAGTCTCTGCTGGTGACAGTCAGAACTGCTCATGTGATTTTACGGTGAGTACCTGATTGTTTTGCAGTGTGGTTGTTCAAGAAGTCAGTGCTTGTGGCATGTTGATTCAAGAGGTGTATGTAATTACCTTGTTGAATTGCAGCAGCCTGCTTGGAGGTGTGCAAAGGTGTTACCTTTAGTCTCTGCTATTTTTAAGCACAAATTCTTCAATGCTTTAGTGGGTGTTGGTAGCTTGAGGTGTGGATTGCAGTGGGTTGGTGCTGCTGTGTCAGGGTTGATAGATGTCACTTCATGTCATCCTGCTGGGTTCCTTTTAAGATCTTCATCTCCAGAACTTTTTGCTTTGAAAAAGTAGCATGCCTGTGCATCTGTAATACATGTGTCTGTACATAGGTAGGACATGATGTGTAGCACAGATCCTCTTTGTCCAGGTCACTGTTGGTAGTTCGGGTCAGAGAAACATCTGACATGCTGAAAAATGGGTCTGTACCTATTACAGTCCCATGATTTGCTTCTGGTACATGCAGGAGTTTTTAGCAAATGCTGCATCTCTCTCAGCTGGTGGTATCTGTAATGCCAGTGTGGGCTACCCATGGATTGTTTTTTGCCTTTTCAAAATGTTGCTATTTGAAACTAGTAACATTAAATTAAAAAAAAAAGCCCCCCAGGCAAGCCCAGTGTAGGCACTGGGCTTCAGAAGGGCAAAGGATCCATATAGAGAAGTTGTTGGAATAATGGAGAAAACAGTTTGGATTCTAGAGATCCTGTTTAACAACAAAGATAGAATAATGTGAATTTCCTTGCTCTTGCAGATATGTCATTCATCTCTGGGATCTCAACCATGAAGGAACGTGGGAGGGCAAAGGCACTTATGTGTACTACACAGATTTTGTCATGGAGCTCACCTTGCTTTCCCTGGACTTGATGCATCATATTCATATGCTGGTATGAAATATTGGATATAATGTTAAGCATATAGACTGGCCTCATGATGAAGGGCATGGGGAATATGTATTTTGTATATTTTTTTTTTCTTTGCTTATATTATGAACCAAGTATTACAGAGAAGTTGTTTTAATCACAGAATCATGGAATGATTTGGGTTGGAAGGGACCTTCAAGATCATCTGGTTCCAACCCCCTGCATGGGCAGGGACACCTCCCACCAGCCCAGGCTGCTCCAAGCCCCATCCAACCTGCCCTTCAACACTGCCAGGGATGGGGCAGCCACAGCTTCCCTGGGCAACCTGGGCCAGGCTCTCACCACCCTCACACCAAACTATTTCCTCCTCATGTCTAACCTAAATAAGAAGAAGATGCAGTGTTGGGGGGCTCTGCATTCTCTGGTGTCCTCACAAATAGCTTTGTTATGGAGTGCTAACTGCTGTGTAATTATCTGTTTAATTGAGTCATACCAGACTGAATTATTTCCCTAGGCAGCAGGGGACATGGAGCTGTGCAGTTCATCCTCACTGTGACTGCTCTGCTGCAGCAGTTGTGTCTGAGGGTGGCACTGGGCAGTGACACCTGCCAACGTCTGCTCTCACCGGGAGAAAAGCTCTTCAGTGCTAGTTTCTTGGCTTCCTTTTCTCTTGAGACCTGATGCACTTTCACCTGGAGGACTCTTTTTAGTTTCCCACGGGGTTTGTCTCTAATGCCTGGCCTGTTTTTTCCCCACAGCTGTTTGGCAATATCTGGCTGTCCATGGCCAGCTTGGTGATTTTCATGCAGCTGCGCTACCTGTTCCACGAGGTCCAGCGAAGGATTCGGAGGCACAAGAACTACCTGCGGGTGGTTGGAAACATGGAAGCTAGGTGAGCCTCTTCTTGGCTCTCTGGGATCTTGACCTGGATCTTGGAGAGAGGATCCTGATAAGGAAACTTGAGATTCCTTTACATTCATTCCTCTTATGTATCCTACCCTGGTGGGGTGACATAAGCTCTGCAGAGCTCTGCTTGTCTCACTTGTCAAATGTTGGCTTCAGCTATGATAGAAATAAATGGTCTTCATTTCATTAGACCATACTATTAATTTACTGCCTGAAATGAAATCAAAATATTAATTAAAACCTGCTCAGCTTTAAGTATGTATTTATTAAGCCTGAAGTCAGCTCTAAATAGACTCTCTACTTGTAGTGGAGCTGAGAGCAACTTGGCATCACTTGAGTCAGTTTCCTTGTACTGAGGCAAAATGGAGAAATCAAGAGGCCTAGGATTGGGCCAGATATTACTGCATCTCTGATCCAACCTTTTCATAACTCAGCTATGTCCTTAATAATTTTAAGAGCAACAGGGGGAGCTTTACTCTTTCTGTACATCGTTGTGCCATTTTCATCATGGACAGAGCTTGACTAGCTCTGATATTTACTGCTACAGTCCAGGTGGAAAAGACTTAACTTCCCTAGGAATTCCCAGTGTCTACTTTGTGAAAAGTCATTTCATTAGTGGCTGTAAAATCAGATGAAGGGCTGTGTGATAAAGTTCATCCACAATGCATTGTTTGTTTTCAGTAAGATCTGTGGCTACTAAACCCCTTTAAGCTGCTCACAAGTGTCTCAGGCTTCTTGTCTGAGCAGCTTGATGTACTTTTGTTGTTCTGATTGTTCTGGAAGAACCACAGCCTGGCTTCTTTCTGGAGCTGCTAAGCAAGCTTCCTGCATTGAGGTAGTTGTTTTTCAGGTAGATTCCACACCAGCAATACTGTGAAATGTTGTTACACTGGTCATCTCTGAATTGTTGCTGTTTGGATGCAAGGTAGTAGCTGCTTGCATGGTGCTCAAGGTTAAAAAAAGACCAAAAAAATCCGAGACAAATGAGGGTTGGCAAAATCTGAGGCCAAAATTAGACTAAAAATGCTTGTGATCCCAGGAAGACATTATAATGGGTACAGCTATTAAAACTCATTTAGAAAAATTACATAAGCCAGATCCAGACAAGTTATAATTTGAGGTTCTCAACCTGATGATCATACTTGGAAGGTACTAGGTCAGAGCTTTTTGAACTTAGGATGGATGCAGAGATGTGCAAAAAGATCAGCCTGGAGGAAGGCACAGGAGGCATGCATGTGTGTGCCTGGAGAATATGAGTTATGGAGGAGGGGAGGATAGCAAACCTGTTCCCACATCTCTCCCAGGGAAAAGTTAATGTGGAGGCCTTGCTGAGCTGGTGTGATCATGACTTGCGTCCCTTCCTTCCTTTGCAGGTTTGCAGTTGCAACCCCGGAGGAGCTGGCAGCCAATAATGACGACTGTGCCATCTGCTGGGACTCCATGCAATCTGCACGGAAGCTCCCCTGTGGACACCTCTTCCACAAGTATGTGCCTGGGGCTCCTTCATCTTGGTCTGTCCCTAATAGCAAAGTCCAAATCAGGTTCACTTCAGTCATTTTGATGTTTGAATTGTCTCATCTGGTGCATCCCCTGGACTTAAGTGGGCATGTTTTCACAACCAGCAGGTAAATGGTGTTGAGTTATGGTGTCTCAGCTGCAAGTCTGTACCCTGCCTTACTGTGTATTGGTTGGTAAAGCACACTCCTGTTCCCCTTGCTTTAACCTGTCCATCACCTCTTCCATGAGGCTGTGTTGATTTTCAGATGAGGAGGAAAAGTTGGGAGTTAGATCCTTAACTTCCAGATAGTTGAAAGACTCTTGGCTTGAAGAGAGAACAAGGGGTGTTTTCTTATAGTGCATCTTTGCATGGTGATGAGTCCTCCAGGGCAGTTGTGGAGGCCAGGTCTGATGATGTGATTTCATGGGGGATAAGTCCATCAGAGCTGTTATAAATTATAACCAAATTTAGCTGTAGAGGTCCCTAAAGCACCTTTAGCTGGAACTGGGAGGCTCTTGGCCAGGGAATCTTAGGCTCTCCCAGTAAGGACTAGTAGCAGATGCTTGTGGAGACAGTTTTCTGGGCTAAAGGCACCTTTCCTTAGAGCTTTTGTAGCAGTGCTTACATTTTCATGCTTGTGCTTAAAAGTGGAAGGAGATCTGGGGATTCAATCAGGAGTTTCTGAAGTGCTGTGTGATTAACATGCAGAGCCAGTTAAATAGTCCCTGTGGTGTCATATGAGCAAGTTACTTTCTGCAAATAGCTTTTTACTTTCCTGGTAACTGTCAAACCAGAGGTTATAATCTACGTGCTATTTGTTGTCATTTATCACAAACCTTGCCATAAATATTTATCTGTGTTCCAAGAAGTCTCTAATGAGATAATGTGCCTCTGTAGCAGAAACTCCTCTTCCACTGCTGCTGAGTTGTATGAATATTTAATCACCTGCTGAGCACTTGAGAAGCCCAGGGTCTTCAGAAAGTTCTTCTCTTTGTATCTAAAAGGATCTTGTTGGAGTTGTTGTTTTTCTGAAGCTGTTACACTTAGCTCTTTGGTACATTAAGGGAGGGAACATGTTGGAGTGGGTGACTTATATGAGCACATAAGACCAGATGTTACGAAAACCCAATTTACAACCTAAGAATGGTTTCTCTCTTCATAAAAGCCTGGTGATTTTGCCAACAAGCTAAATACTGTGTCCATTCTCATTTACATGGGATTTCTTTTCACAGCCACTTATTTGGAGTAGAAGAGAAGATGACAGGAAAGATTCACGTGGCTGAGATCAACTCTATGCCTAATATTAAGCAAGCTTCATGGGAGTGGGTGTCTGAATATTTTTGGCTCTTTTGAAGCTCTCTATCTTTTAGGAAGCAGTCCATTTCAAGAGTTGTGGCTGAGATGTTGCCAGCCTTGACCTGTTGTTAGTCCTCCTCCTGCTGAGGTGACTGAGCCCTTCTGGTGCAGAGCACAGTGTGTGGCCACGTGAGCCCCCAGGGGTTGGTGCTGATGTGAGCTGAAAAGGATTCCTGTCCATTCCAGCATTTCAGTGCTTGAGGCACTGAGGAGCAGCAGTGTTGGTGGTACCTTGTGTCACTCCTGGTGTTTCACAAGTGACCTTTCCAGCCTGATGGTGGCAGGGGTTTGAGCTTGCTGTGTGCAGGGTGGCTTTGCTGCAGTGATGAAGTTGGACAGCATCAGCAGGGCTGAAGTGCTGGCTGTGCTGGTGACCAAGGTGCTGGCAGATGGTAGATTTTTTTTTTTTTTTAATTATAGTGCTTTGGTTGTTCCTGGGAAACCCATCACTGTCATTTCTGAACACTTTGTATCCCTCCATTGAAATATTATGAAAAATACTTTGGCAATATTTCTGTCCTTGGCTTTGCTATAATCCTGCTTTTTCCACCGGGGGGAGGAAGGAAAGGCCTTTTTCCTAGTTCTGTCAGCCCAAACCTGTCATCTGTTTCTTTACTCCATTTGCAAATACACAATTTGGGACACAGATGTATTTGACTTTTTCATTTTTCTGTACTTCTCTGAAGTGTTTAGAGAGCTTCTGTTGGGGAAAAAAAACCCCACCAAACCCACCCTGCAAGCAATTAGATATGTTCAGTTTTGTGAATTCTTCCAGACTGAAAATCAGGTTTAACATACCAAAAAACTAGGTCATATCAGTCTGAATCAAAAAGTAGGCACAGCTCTTGAGTGATGAAATCTGCATTTCAAATACTTCTCATTTTCTACAAGACAGCAAATGTTCAGGTTGAAGTAAAGGTTGTCACAGCACTGGCTGGCATTAATAACCCTCTAAACAGAGTTCCCAGTGTGGTGCTCACTTTGGTGGTGATTTGGGTATTGATTTGGAAGTGCCATTGCCACATCACACTAGCAGAACTATTTAAAATACTTGCCCAGTTGGTTTTTGTCCTTTTTCAGCTGTGGCTGTTGAGAGAAGAGAAACTCTTTGTTTCTCCTTCCAGACAAAACTTGCTTGTTCTGAGCTAGAAGGACAAGAAACTTGGGAGAGGTATTTTCAGCTTGTGATAAATCTGCATGCTTGTTTCTAAAAAGTGAACACTTGAGTGGTTTCAGCTGAAAGAAACAAGGAACCTGTGCCAGAGTCATCAGATGCACCTCACAAATTCTCTCTGAGCAGTCCATGTGGTGGGATTCTGTGCAGAATATGCTACAGTTGCTTGGTGAGCTCCTGTTGCTGATGTCTTGGAAAAAGGCTGCAAGTTCACCATCATGTTACTGTTTTCCTGTCAGCTCCTGCCTGCGGTCCTGGCTGGAACAAGATACATCTTGCCCCACCTGCAGAATGTCTCTTAACATCACTGACAGCCACCATGTGAGGGAGGATCACCAAAGGGAAAACCTGGATGAGAACCTGGGCCCCGTGGCAGTAGCAGAGGGCAGACCACGTTTGAACCAGCACAATCACTTCTTCCACTTTGATGGTGAGCTGAGCAGTTTGACATCTGATGCTGTTGCCGAAATAAATGAAGGGAGCAGCCTCCTGTAGGAGGGAATTCTGCCCATGCTTCAATCAAAACTTGCTCTGCCTCTACTTGAGCTTGTCAAACACATGTATTTCTTACAGCTCTTTTGCAAGAGCTCAGAGTGGTGTCCAGAGCTATGGAGATTTCTTGAAAGACTTTGTCCCAAGTCCCCCCTGTTCCTTGGTTTGTTGTGGTTAGCAACTTTAATGCTGGTGTTTATTCCTTGTGTGCCATGTGGATCACCTGGATGGGAAATTCATGTGTTCTGTTTCTCTGCCAGGTGGCTGGTTAATCAGTGACAGTCAAAGAGAAAAACAACTTGGTGATACAGTCTAAAGGTTGATCTCTCCCTTGCCTCTAGCTAACCTGAGGTTGTCAGAAGTCCTTTTGTCATTCAGTTGACAAGAAACCTGCAGTGCTCAGTCAGGTGCAGAAGCTGATTCTTAGATGGGCTGATGTAACCAGAATGGTTTTACATGTTGGTTGCAGTGACTTCAGGGGTTGTGTTCTAACTACTCCCAAAGCAGCTGTGATTTCAGACCCTGGTGAGCTCTGTGCCTTCAGACAGACTTCTTCTGAAAGAGGCAACATCTGCTGCTTATCTTCCCAAATTTTACAGTTTGGGTGTTGGTGTGTTCTTGTCTTCCACAGTTTCCCAGATTTTTGATGGCAGTCTTGCTGCATCTCAGTAGGTTTCACAAGTGCAAATGTTCAGCTTTGGGCTCTGTCCTTACGGAGCTTCCATGATGTAGCTGAGATGCTGCAAAGTTTTGTAGTGTGACCCCTTCTTCATCTGTGCTGGTTTTGCAATTTTTGGAGTTTGTGGGAGGGGGATAATGAGCAGAGAAGGGTCACACATTTCTGGGTACACGGAGACTGGCTGATAGCTTCTGCCTGGCTCCCACTTTTGAGGTGCTTTAGGTCTCCAAAGGACATTTATATTTAGAATCCCACTCTGGTTTTTGATAGCTGTCCTCCCCCGTGCTCTCCTGTGGCTTGGAGGCTTGCAAAATTACTGTGGAGCCAGAAGGAGAAGTTCCATAGAGCTAATCCTGTGTTTGATGAAGTGGAAAGGCAGGAGGAGGGAGCCAGCCCCTCT